GTGTGTGTGTGTGTGACAAAGTAAAGATGAATAGAGAAGAGGTGATTTGCTGACAGGCACAGTTTAACTAGCACTTAATCATTATTCCATCAAGAGCAAAGTCCAGGGCCATTATCAAATAAGCTACCTGTGTGACTCCCTGCTCCCCCTAATAACACATGCATGTGGTTTGACTGCAGCATCTCCAGCATCTGCTCAGTATCTGCACAGGACACACATCACCGCAGTATTTCTTTCTTTTTTTTGTTGCATGGATCCTGTAAATAGCATTGCCTTTCATGTCAGACAAATTAATTTGGATAGAAATTAATAGTTGCAGTGGTGATAAATCAGGAGCGAGCGAGAGCCATATGGCAGTATGTGTGCGCTCCAAAAGGACTGACACAAAAGAAGTGTTATTAGGAGAATGCTATGCTGGCTGAGCTGTCGAGCAGGCTGGTGGCATTGAGTGCACGCATTCATTTCACTGAGTACAGTGAGGTACTCCATCTTCATATGAATAAATTAATTTACCTTGATATCTGATGCGTTTATTACCATGCATATGTGAGCAGACAAATGAATGTGGAGTGATCTGTCATTGGCTTGTGTAATTGATGAGAGCAGGGAGATGAATAGACACCTGTAAGCGCGACTGGAAGTAGAGCAGGCAGCTTTCTGTGACAGCTAGCCTCGTGTTATTTCATGGCACACTGACTGAATTACTGATTAAGGATCACCTTATCCTCATCAGCTTCAAGAGTCGCGGAAGCTAATTTTCCTGAGCATGAAAGGGCTTCCTGCTTTAAATGCTGTACTGCCTTAGTCTGGTGATCAAAATTGAGAATTCTGAATAAAAAAAAATTAACATAGTACAGCAGCCCAATTTCATGTTACATCGAGCTCTGAAGGTTGGAAAGGTCGAGCTGAAAGGGTACGTGTTTAGAAGCTGTAGGGGGATCCTCTAGGACGTCGCTTGTCGGATTGGTTGCATTTTATAGCGCTGTCTGCCTAGAATGACACTAACCAGTCAAAGACGTGGATCTAACATCAGCTTAATATGCACTCACTTTAAGCCGAGGCTTGATGGAAGTACATCTGCACAACTGTCTCTTACAGGCCTATTCAGCCATGTCGCAGTTAAAGGGAAAGCAGCTTTCTCCTCGTCGTTCTACACTGTGTCTGTAACTGCTCATGTGTCACAAATGACGCATCACTAACAAGACTTTCCCTCTTTTTCGTTTTCATCCCTGTCCTGTCTTGACATCCTGAACAGCGGTGCCAAATCTGCCAAATCCACAGAGAGAACGCATAATGGAAAGTCTCACAAGAAGGTAAATCACTCATTTTCTTCTTGTCTGCCTGAACTGCACTGGGCTAGATGTTGCTAACATAAGATTAGACCTGTTTAGTTCGACTCCAGTTTGGAACATCTGAATGGAAATCCAGTGTCATCTTGACCGGGGGGGAGGGAGGGATTGTGATGGTCATGTGATTCCATCCATAACGCTTGCCCTGTTTGGAATTAGCACGTCGAAATACCATGGTGTAAATTCCAGCCCCTGTTACCCAGTGACACCAGCTCATGTGTGCCAAAGGTTGTCCTAGAAGGTTACCTCTAGGCTATTTGATTCCTACACGATTGGCAGGGTATTTATAGGCACAGCAAAAACAAGACCAGTGGAAGTAATTATGTTTACCCCTAAAAAAACTAAAGAAAACCACTTGTTTACTTGCCCCAATAAATCGAGAAACTCTAAAGCCTCAGATAAACACATGTTTCAAGGGTGAAAACATGATATGCAACAGCTGTGCGTAAATGTGCTCATCAGGAGTTCTGGGAGATATGACTTGACCTTTTGTGGCCTTATGAATGTTTTAAGACTATATGCATACATTTGTTAATGTAAGCATGAACACAGTTAAAGTGCATAGTGTCATAGGCCAGCCGTGTGGATGTTCTTGCACTGCCCTTATTCTGTGTGAACGTAATGCGTGTCCTCCCCTCAGGTTAAGACGCCTAAGACGGAGACCCCGGAGTCAGCCAGCAGTCCGAGGTAGGGATGAAGTCACCAGTAGACTTCTTATTAAAGACAGCGATAATAAGACGACAAGCTACTATGGGGTGATTGTGCCAGAAATCTATTCTCTTCTTTTCTTCCCTTCCCTCCTCCCTCCCGAGGTGATGAAATTGAAATTTAGTTTTTTGATGTTTAAGGGCCCTGGACAGAAGCCATTTCCATTTTATACAATGTGTTAAGCTGTCTCGCAGAAAATTAATTTTACTCTGCAGTGAAAACAAATATCTGTGGCTTGTCATGAAAGTAATAAATGAGAATGCATGGTTTGAGTAGTTGGATGCTCAGCGGGGTGTTTCCGGGATGGCAGACTTTGGCCGAAGGCCTGCTGCGTCGAATCTGTCTCACAGCAGTGTTTCTACAGAGACGTTAATGGATTGTGTCCCAGACGTGGACTTAGCCCAACCCAATACGTGGAGTGACATTTCAAAGGAGATGTCAGTTGGAAAAACCGAAGCTAAATTCTGGCTTATAATATTTCCTTTAAAGTTTTTGTTCTTCCAGCAAAGCTCAGGTATTAACTGTGCTAGTTGAGTGGGTTTCATGCAGGGAGGAAAGTCAGGTCCTTATACCAGAGTAAGGGAAGAAACATAAGGCTATTAGAACCACACACTGTAAATGTCAATGGACACAGTGACCCACCCTTCTTTGTATAGCTTTTTATGGATTTTGCTCAGTGTACCAAACAAAAGACAATTTCTACAGCAGTTTAACTGAGCAGCTTGGCCACAGTATACATGTAGGTTTGCAAAGAATACTAAAAAGAGAACTGGGAGAAAGTTAGATAAAGGCTCCTTCTGTGTATATGTGTAATGTCACAGTGGTGGAACAAACTGCATAAACTCTACATATCTTTCAATGCAGACTGAAAACTCTTGTGTTCGGACTGAACCTTGGCACTTAACAAAACTTTTTTTTGATCTTTATTTAAATTGTTTCCAAATGCAATCCACTTGTACTTACTTTGGGTTATATCCACATGGTTGAATGCACTTATTGTACGTTTCTTTGAATAAAAGAGTTCGGCTCACAAGTAGTTTGCCTACTGCAGACGTTCAGAACATTCATGTGTCATTATTAGTGTGACACATTGTGACACCTGCAGGCAGGCAGTGGGGGCTCTGCATTTACCTGTCATATTAACAATCCCTCCATCACTGATAGGAGCTGACACACAAAGCCCTATGCAAAGAGAATAAGTTTAAGCTCATTTAGTCAAAGTGGCTGTATTTGGCCCAGATTCCCCTGTACATTCTGGCCTTTCTGTCAGCATGACGTCTTCATGAAGAACGTCATGCAAGTTGAAATAAGCACTTTAAATGTCCAGTGTGTAACATTTAGGAGGATCTATTGGCAGAAATGGAACTTAATATTCATAGCTATATTTTCATTTAAGAATAATCACCTTTACCGTTACCTTAGAATGAGTCGTTTTTATCTACGGATGGAACCAGTCCTCTTCCACGTAGTCCGCCACGTTGAACCGCCATGTTT